TCTATTCTATTCTATTCTATTCTATTCTATTCTATTCTATTCTATTCCTTTCTTATTCCATTCCATTCCATTCCATTCTATTCTATCTACCACTTTTGCTAAAGTAGCACATTCCCTTAAGTCTTTCAAGAACTATATATACTGTATATATAAACCAGTAAAATTCCAGGTGGCCAGATTCTAATCGTCCACCTGCAAATTATTATTTTTTTAGCTTTTTCTTTAGCGGGGATCAAGCCTTCTTGCAATGTGAATACAACACATGGCGATGAAGGATAAAACAGAATTACTATCACTAGATTAGCGGGAAAAGCTGGATAGAGTTATAATCATTATCTATTACATTCTAATCCCTAGTTTTAAAGCAGTTCTGTTCCCCCCCCCATCCTCCACCATTAGAAGACTTAATTAGGGACAAGTCACCATGGGGGGAAAAAATCTACCTACGTGACTGCTAAGAATTGACCATAACTCAACAGCACCCAAGCAATCGGTCAATGAAGAATAGGATAGGATAGGACATGGACAGACAAAACTGAACAGAACAACAGAATTGGAAGGGTTAGGGTTAGGGTTAGGGTCCAGTTAAAGTCCAGCTGCCTCCTGAAAAAAAAGCACCTTTTGGGTTGACTGATTAGTTCTCCTTGAGTCCAAGGCATTCTTAAGAGTCTTTCCCAACACCACAATTTGAAAACATCAGTTCCTCGGCGCACATCCTTCCTTATGGTTCAAACATTGAAGAATAACCTGTAGAGAAGATCTGAAGATTACAGGAGATGTGCTTCTGTGGCAAAATCTCTCGTCTGAACAAACCTGTGGCTGGTCTCTTCGCGTGTCCCTCGGCTACAATTTTCAAGTGAGGCTTGTCATCCTCCCAACAGGGAAGGAGGAAAGTTTGCAAATGATGGCTTGGCAGCCTAGGGGAGAGGCCCAGCCCTGCCTCATTTAAAGCAAAGCATCCAAGCAGATGGAAAGATTGCTTCTGCAATTTGAAAAGGGGGTGGTGAGGAAGAATCCGATTGCACTTTGAAATTTGAGTATACGTTCCATTTCTCCCTTCCTTTAATTTGGCAACCCTCTCTGGAGAATGGCTTGGCCTTTGGTGAACCACCAGAAAAAGAAAAAAAAACCAGAAGCATTTCTTGGTCCACGCTGAAGACCAGGAAATAGGAGGAGTTCAAAATCAAGTCCTTTTTGAAAGTACAGGCAGACTTACAACATATTCATTTAGCGACCGTTCAAAGTTACAATGGCACTGAAAAAAGGTGACTTATGGCAGTGGCGGGAGTCAATATTTTTTTTGACTACCGGTTCTGTGGGCGTGGCTTGGTGGGCGTGGTAGGGGAAGGATATTGCAAACTCTCCATTCCCTACCCACTCCTAGGGGAAGGTTACTGCAACATCCCCCGTCCCTCCCCACCCCACTAACCTGCTTTCCAGCTCCGTTCTCCTGTGCAGGGCAACCAAAGAAGACCCAGCCAATCAGCCGGGACTCGGGAGGCGGAGAATAGATGGGGGCGGGGCCAGTCAGAGGTGGTATTGGCTAGTTCTCTGAACTACTCAAAATTTCCACTGCTGGTTCTCCAGAACTGGTCAGAACCTGCTGAACACCACCTCTGACGTATGGCCATTTTTCACACTTACAACCATCGTAGCACCCCCATGATCACGTGACCAAAATTCAGGGGCTTGGCCACTGACTCCTATTTACAACGGTTGAAGTGTCCTGGGGTCATGCGATCCCCTTTTGCGACCTTCGGACAAGCAGAGGCAAGGTGGGCAGCCAGATTCTACTGGGTGATTTCTGGGTTTCTGAATGCTTCTAGCCTGCTTAGCAGGACAGGTGCACCCAGAGTGCGATAATGTGCTTTTTTGAGTTGTTGGTTGCTGGTGCTACTAAGGATTGAAGAGGGGTGTGGATGCTGTGGGTTTTTTGTTTTTTGTTTAGTTGTTCCTTTGGGCAGCAACACAATACTTGTCGTGGGTCCTGGAGAGTTTGAGTTGCAAACTTCTCCTTAGCAACCCCAACAGGATGTACAATGCACCATGTGCAGGGGGCTGGAGAAGGAAATGAGTTGATAACGCTGTGATGGGTTTGCTCAGGATGGTAGGAGGGAGATGACACAGGATCCCATTCCCCCAGGGTTTCCCAGCTGCAGCTCCCGAAAGAGGCTGGGGTGACACATCCCAGCAGTGGTTGCTGTATTCCTGGCAGTCAAAAACAATGGATTGGACCTGTATATATTCTGTATATCCTGTGTGTGTGTGTGTGTGTGTGTGTGTGTGCAGGATTTATTTATTTAGATAGATAGATAGATAGATAGATAGATAGATAGATAGATAGATAGATAGATAGATAGATATAATTGGTATTGGTATCTATCTAATCTATCTATCTATTGGTATCTAGCTACTATCTATCTATCACCTATCTATCATCTATCTAATCTATCTATATTGATATCTATCTTCTATCTATCTATCATCTATCTATCTATCTATCTATCTATCTATCTATCTATCTATCATCTATCTATCTATCTATCCATCCATCCATCCATCCATCCATCCATCCATCCATCCATCTATCCATCTATTGATCAATCTATTGGTATCTATCTATCACCTGTCTATCTGTCTATCTATCTATCTATCTATCTCTGTAGGGAATTCTTGGACCAGAACTAGAAAATGCTGTCATGAGACTTTTTTGTGAGTGTGAGTCATCTTTGTGCTGTCTCGGAAAAAAGGAGGAGGCTCATCGAAATAGCTCTGCTGCTTAGCATAAATTTGCTCCAAGAAATGTTTTTTATTTTTTATTATTATTATTTTCCCGAGCTGCTAAATTGGAACGTCGACAGCTTTATGGGAGAGAATAATTTGCATCGACAGCATACTTTGTGCTCAGATCTTGACAAGCAGGTGGCTTAAAATGTCCTGGATGAACGTAAAGGAAAGTTTGGGGGCCAGTTATTTCCCTGGTACAGGTAGTCCTCGACTTACAATGGTTCATTTAGTGACTGTTCAAAGTTACAACGGTACTGAGAACAGTGACTTGTAAGCACTTTTCACAGTTATGACCTTTGCGGCATCCTCATGATCCCGCAATCAAAATTCAAATGCTGGGCAACTGACTCATATTTATGACGGTTGCAGTGTCCCGGGGTGACCACGATCCCCTTTTGCGATCTTCTGACAAGCAAAGTCAACGGGGAAAGCCATTCACTTAACGACCGGGTGTACTATCTTTATCGACTGCTATGATTCACTTAACAAATGAAGCAAGAAATGTCGTAAACTGGAGCAAAACTTAACAAATGTATCACTTAACGGCAGACATTTTGGGCAGAATTGTAGTCGTAAGTTGAGGACTACCTGCATCTAATCCTGGCTTGGTTTGTGTTTAAATCAGGGGTCCCCAAACTTGGCAACTTTAAGACTTGTGGACTTCAACTCCCAGAATTCTCCAGCCACCCAACAAAAACACTGGCAATAATAATAATAATAATAATAATAATAATAATAATAATAATAACAACAACAACAACAACAACAACAACAACAACAACATCTATGCAACAAACATTTGCAAACTGCAGCAGCACTACAATTAAGGGAAAATAACTCACCTTGGAAGTATATAATTGTAGATTTAAGGAATGATAATGCTGTTTTAAATATGCACATTCATTATTTATGTCTAATAAAAAAACATAGCTGGCTGGAGAATTCTGGGAGTTGAAATCCACAAGTCTTAAAGTTGGCAAGTTTGGAGACCTCTGGTTTAAATATTGCAGTAAGTGTGCCTTTGTAAAGGGAGAAAGAATAAGCTTGATATGCAAAATTGGAAGTCTACCACGATCTGCTCCCTGCTTATTAGATTTTTGGTGAGCAGTTATATTGGTGTAATGAATTTTTATTGCACTGAAGGGGAAACTGGGTCTGAATAGAGTTGTTTGGAATGAGTTTGGCTGGAATTAGGGGGAAGATATTCTAGTTTTTCCTCTTAACTTATTGTGTGTAGCTGAATGTTCCCAAGAGTAGATTTCTTGAGGCGAACAGTATAGAAATACTGCTTTAGAGTCGCGATTTAACAGCATAAATATTTAGGAACTCCTTCTGCTTTTTGTTTTTCAGTTTTCTCTCAGATTTTTAACACTTCTCCCAAATAAAATATGATAATAGCAATTGGAACTATAGCTATGGGGTGAGGCATTATAACAGGGGATAAGAGTGTTATCGCCTTTTATTGGTGGACATTAAATAAATTGCTTTTGAGGATATTCTATAATTGCCTTAATCCTCTGCGATAGAGCACTTTTCTTTAGCCTAATGTTTTGTTGATTTCTATATTTTCAGTTTTCTTCTTACCTGGATTTGAGGTGAACATCTAAGCCTTCAAAATAAAATTAATTCCATTGCTAATTTTCTGGTCCTCATAGTCTGAGATTTATCGGAGGCAGCTGGGTTTTTTTGGGTGCCTTTGTGTGTTGACTTCTGCCGATCGCCTAGACAAGTCCCTTCAGTTATCTTGGCAAGGTTTTCCAGAAATGGTTTACCATTACCTCTTTCCTAGGGGTAGGAAAGAGAGACTGGCACCAGGTCGCCCAGCTGGCTTTGCACCTAAGGCAGGACTAGAACTCACGCCCTCCCGGTTTCTAGCCGGATGCCTTAAGCATGACCCTAATCTGACTCTCGTTGATTGGAGCCCAGAGTTCTAATCCAAGAAGGTAAGAATGACTCGGTCTGTTTACTCTGTCCTCTTTCTCCGACAGATCCAGACAGTCAGCTCTGCCCCTTGGGATACAGTCCTGATGAGACGCCTCCTGCATGCGCTGATGAATTTGATGACTTCGTTGCATACGAGGTGAGCGAGAACATTACCCACCCAATGGCTCCGGGTCACTTTTTGTTGGCTTAAGTGTGTCTCAATTTGCTACTTTAGAGAATGTGAGAGAGCTTAAGAAGGACCTTATCTCTGATAGCTTCTCAAAGATTTCTGTAGTAATAGCACTTATTAGATTTATGTATTGCTTCACAGTGCTTTCCAGCCCTCTCTAAGCGGTTTACAGAGTCAGCCTCTTGCCCCCAACAATCTGGGTCCTCATTTTACCCACCTCAGAAGGAGGGAAGGATGAGTCAATCTTGAGGCGGTCAGGATTGAACTGCTCACAGTCAGCAGAGTTAGTCTGCAATGCTGCATTCTACCCACTGTGCAGGATGGATGGATGGATGGATGGATGGATGGATGGATGGATGGATGGATGGAAGGAAGGAAGGAAGGAAGGAAGGAAGGAAGGAAGGAAGGAAGGAAGGAAGGAAGGAAGGGCAATAGCCCTTAGACTTACATACTGCTTCACAGTGCTTTTACAGCCCTCTCTAAGCGGTTTACAGAGTCAGCCTCTTGCCTCCAACAACCTGAGTCCTCATTTTACCGATCACGGAAGGATGGAAGGCTGAATCAACCTTGAGCCTGGTGAGAATCGAACTGCTGGCAGTGAGCAGACTTAGTCTGCAATGCTGCATTCTAACCACTGCGCACCATGGAAGGAAGGAAGGAAGGAAGGAAAATAGCAATAGCCCTTAGACTTATATACCGCTTCACAGTGCTTCACAGCCCTCTCTAAGCGGTTTACAGAGTCAGCCTATTGTCCCCAACAATCTGGGTCCTCATTTTACCCAACTCGGAAGGATGGAAGGCTGAGTCAATGTTGAGTCAGTTAGAGTCGAACTCCTGGCAGTGGGCACAACTTGCTTGCTGTCAAAAATGACCTTGACAACTTCAATACTGCATTCTAACCACTGGGCCAGCAGGGCTCATTATTTGGCCTTCCTTGATGCAATTAAGTTCAAGAATTGCTGTTCTTTTTCCCCCACAACCTGATTGGTTCCTTCATTTCTAGTTTTGTCGCAAACTTTGGCCAAGACAAAGATCAGAGATTGCCTTTAGGATTCAGAATAATGCATATTTTATGTATGTTTTACTCTTTTTTTTAAAAAAAAATTCTTCTATATTATTTCTTGTTTTTTTTAAGGTACTGTTTATTGTTGTTCCTTTTATATTTGTTTTATTTGTTTGTAAGACGCCCAGAGTCATATATATAAGATGGGCGGTTATGTAAATTTGAATGATCGATCAATCAATCCTTGGGCCCGGATGCAATTAACAGATTAAACGGGAATAAAAAATGCCTGTAAAAATGCGATCCAATATTTTTGAATCACTTAAATAGCCAAACGTGTTGCATAAAGTGACTTAGGAATTGATTATTGAGGAAACTTAAGGATCACGCAGAAAATCAACACGGCAGCGTGGAGTTTTAATGAGAATACAATATTATGAAAATGGATGGAAAACAGGTTTTTTACACTTTGTGTTTTGAGACAAGGCATATCCGGAGAGATCCCCAGGCCAAAATGGCCTGCTCCTTGGTCTTCTAGTGTAGGCGCTGGAATTGTCAGGGATTAAACCGAAGCATACCAGACATTCCTTCACTGAATTATAGCTTCTTTCCTAAATCTTAACCCATCCTGACTGGAAGCAGGTAAAGTTTATAATTACTGGAAATAGTGAGCCGCAAGGCATTCACTGACGTGCACAGCCCCGGTGCAATTGCAGTAAATAAATTATAATATTGTAGAGAATGAAGATTATTTTGTCTTTCTGCAAAGCGTTCAGGCAAAGGCATAATTTGAGTGGTCGCTGAGTTTCAAGTTGTAAATTGAGGACTTTTTTTTTCTTTCTCCTAAACCTCTTCCGTTCTGTACCCTCTGACTTATAATAGGGACATGCAAAGGGAAAAGTTTGGGCAAGTAACCATAAAATACAAGCACAATCCAAAGCACACTGAAGATGATGCCTCCTCAAATGGGGACCAAATGTTTGCAACCAAATCATGCAGCTCAAGCCAAACAACATAAAATATAGCCTTTTGACTTGTCTTTTAACCCTGGAGGCCAAGCAACAATGCGACATTGTGTGTCTCCCTGGGTGCCGTGAATGCGCAGAACCGGAATAACTTCCTAGAAGGCAGCATGTGGAAGAAGTAAACTGGCTTGCAAAAATAGAAAGGTGTGGAATGATAAATTAAATCTGGTGTGCCTGCCTGTCTCCAGAGAGCGTTAGCTGTAAAGGGAGGTCTTTTTTCCTCATCACTCTGGCACACATTCACGCTTCCTTTTTGCTCTGCCGAGAAGAACAGGATGTTTCCCTTTTATTGATTGACTAGCTCGATACCCGTCCTTCGCTACGAAACTATGTGGTTGGGCTTAGTTTTTGGGGGAGGAAAATAAGGGGGAAAATTCTGTCTCTGCCTACCAGCATTGATTGGTATTCATCTGGCTAGCGTCATGTCAGTGTGTGAGAGAGTTGAAGGCTGTTTGGAAACTGAAAGAATATTTACTGTGTGAACAAGGAGACAGCAAGGAGCCTGGGCGTGGCTTAGCTCAACTGATCTATACTAAAGCTGCTTGGTGTTCTGAAACTGAAACGCCTCTCCTCTGCTGGTGTTTTGCATTTGAAACAATTCTTTTCAGGTGGGGAGGGGGAGTAGAACTCCTTAGCATCAGAGCGTGTTAATAATAATAATAATAATAATAATAATAATAATAATAATAATAATAATAATATAGAAAATACTTTAAATGTTCTGATGGTCATTTTGAAAAATCCTTTCTTAGTGAGCATCTAAAAGCCAAGAGGAAACTGTGCCGAAATGTGTAAATAGACATTTGAAATTAGAGAACAAGAGAATAAACAATTTTATATGATATGGGATTTATTTTATCAATGGTTCGATAAAAAGACATGGTAAAGAAATAGACTAGTAAGCCTTACAATAAAAGTTAATAGATTGATATAGAATACAATATAAAATATATAACCATTGGATGAATGTATAAGATTAGATCAGAATGAAAATTAGAATATCTCATATAAAATGATGGAAAAATAGTCAAATGAATGTTTAATAATTGATATTATATAAGCACAAGCTACATCGATAAGGTGAGAATTTATATAACTTGTGAGTAATGGTAAAAAAAGGATAGCACAAAAGATTGAAACCAACTGACACACTGTGTGTATATAATTGAAAGATGGTTTTATGTTTTTATGTTTTGTTCGTATGTTTGTTGTAAAAAATAAAAACTTTGTGTTTTTTTTTTAAACAACAACAACAATAGAAGCCAAGAAGAACATATGTGCCAAATTTCAACTTTGTAGGCTGGTTTTTTTGGTTCTGGAGATTTTGTGATGATGCGTGAGTGGCATTTCGCTTTTATATATATAGGTTATAGGCTATCAAGTTGTGGCAAAAATGATTATAAAGTCCTAGTGACTCACTTAACCTACTGTTAGGCGTGAAAGGTCCAAATAAACTGATTTATTGCTAAACAGCCTGTGCACAAGAATCTTCTCAACTTAGGTTAGTACCTACTAGAAGTCACATAAGGGACAATGGAATTCAAGGGGAGGTTGGACTTAGCTTGCTTGTGTCTACGTAGGGATTCTAGGCTGAACCCTCTTTTAACTCCGCCCCCAGGTTCTGCCACCCCCTTCCCATAAATCAAGTCAGAAATTCTGGTCCAATTGTCGTAAATCGTGGACTCCATATATGGGCAGACTGGAAACAAAGCAGATTAGCTATGCTTCTTTTATACCATTTTGATAGCATCGGTTTCACAGATTCTAGGCGCTTTGCGATAAAATTTTCCGATAAAGCAGAAGGCCGCCGCCAAGCCTCCCTCACCTTCGCCCTCATTAAAACCTTAATCAAATATAATAAAATACTTAACATTAATGAGCCAGAGCTGTAATGGCTAAGCATGTGGGCTACTACTGGTGCGAAAGCGATGTTTTTGTGGAGAAGATTCCAGAATAGATTTTTTTTTTATCCCCGCTGGTGTTTCCGCAGACTTCCGCAGTTCTAGGTCCATCAAATGTAGTTCTTGGCTGGGATCATTTTTTTGTTTAGTGTTTTAGGAAGAGGGTCTTTTTATAGTTCCTTGAGTTATTCATGGGTGGAGTTCAGCAAAGGAGATGGCTTCGATTCTGCTCTGTTTAGTTTAGTTTCCCCCCCCCCCCCCCCTTGGCTACTTCAATTAAGACCATTGAAACTTGTTCTTTGAGAAGTGAAACTCTGAAGAAAACAAGGCATTAGTAAGGATTTAAAAAGTTGAAATTATTAGGGGGCTAGGAAGCCATGTTGGAACAGGTTCCCCTGGTGGAAAAAAAATAAATAAAACTTAACACAGTCTAATAGGTGGGTAATAGGGGAAAAGAAAGAAATGGTTTTTGAAGAGTTAAAAAAACAAAAAACTAAATTTTCTAAGTTGGCAATGCTGCCCTCTTGCGGCTGTCCAAAGTAGCTGATCTCAGTTATCATCTAGAAACCGTGCAAGGAAAGAAAATGGGAATAAATTCAGCAACAATCCCAACACCACCAATGTGCCAAATAGAATTGTACAATGGTCTGTCTTTAATATCTGGAAATGCCTGAACCAAGAGCCGAAAAACAAAACAAAACAAACAACGGAGGGAATATCAGAGTGGAGTGGATGGAAGTTGTTTAAGGGAAGGTTGGGTTTATTCATAACCGTTGGCGGGAAATAATATTCTTTGAGACAGGAACAATAAGGGCTCCTGCAGCAGAGGTGGTATTTTTTGATATTATATAATTATAATATCAATTATAATAATTAATATTATATATTATATAATTATTATATAATCTTTCAACTTAGGTTAGTACCTACTAGAAGTCACATAAGGGACAATGGAATTCAAGGGGGGTTGGACTTAGCTTGCTTGTGTCTACGTAGGGATTCTAGGCTGAACCCTCTTTTAACTCCGCCCCCAGGTTC